CAAGGGTCTCACCTCAGTCTTGGTATTGAGGGTGGCAGAGAGCGCTGGTCATTCACTCCCCCCACCTACAATCCCTGCCAGGCCCGAGACTCAGACCCACGACCTTCGGGTTCACCTTCGGGTTACAAGTCTGACTCTCAGACCACGACTGCTTAACTTAATCAGTTAGTCTTATCCATAATAACAGACTTTTTAACATTATGCCTTTTTTGTTATGATAAAAGTTAGAATAGAATTTGTACTTTATAACTGTGGCACTCACTGCATGTGTTAAAACAGAGAAATCATCAAACCGTGCTGGACTTTGATACTCCAGGACCACAGCTCTCATTGCCTAAACACTACACTGAGTTGATATCATTGTGCAAGATAGGACCTGATCCTGACTAACTATAACTGACAATTCATCTTGGAAAGATATAACTAATATCGACTTTTATATGCTGTATCTAGTATCTGTATCTTGTATCTAGTATATGTAGCGTACTGAATAAAATGCCATGCCCGAGTAAAGGAATAAATCGTCTTGTTTCGGATTTGGTGTAACAGAGGATATGGTGCAAAAAGTTGCCTCGTATTTCACTTCACATCAACACAACGGTGGGTAAAAACGGTAAAGTTAGGTTTATATTGGACATTTGCTACACATTCGAGATTCTCTCTTCTATTTCTCAAGAAATAAACGCACAAAAATGAATTTCTTACTTTGGAGTCGACCGAGAACCAGGTACAAAAATATTCCTCCCTCCCGACGCTCGATGACGCCAACACTTCCGCATCACCCGTCTCTGGTGCTTTATATAGATGGAATCAGTAAGGGACCGTCTAAAAAGAGCATGACTATGTAAAATTCCACCAAGATTATAATGCTGCGTACTACTACAGGTCGGAACGTGTAATTCCCAATCTCGAAACCAGGAAAAGGCAAAGGAAACGCCGCCTCAGCTTGAAATTACTGCTCAGTTTGGGGTAGTCTTCTCAACTACGAGTTCCTTTCCAGTTCACGAAGTGAAGGCAAATCAACACAGCTGTGCACAGCATCAGAAGTAAACAAAGTAGCACTTCTTGCCTTAAAATGAGTTATACTGTAAAATACAAGTATTTTCTTTAGATCATTGTAGGAGTTACACATACAAAACCAAAAGCACTACATTATATTCTATTATTCCTCAGAAATACAGCAACTAGATTTTTAAAAGTCAGTATTGTTTTTATTATACAGCTGTAAAATCATACATTTAAAATTTATATCCTGAATGTATTTATTTCTGTAAAGCTGGTTTGTGACAATGATTTTTTTGGCTGAAAATAGAAAATAATTGAAAAATCAATAACTTTTTGATTGTGGGCATTGCACATAACCAAATGTACTACACTGTACTCTATTACTCCTATTCCTATTATTACATCTCAATCTTTAAAATAAGTGTTTTTTTCATGAAAGAAAAATAATTGAAAAATCAGTAACTTTTTAATGGTAGGCTATTGGTGTTTTAGTTATTTTTCCTTTTTTTTTTTTTGCCAAAGTAAAAAAACAAGACTAAAATTAAAAAAAAAAAAAAAAGTTGACTATTTAAAAATCTAGTTGCTGTAGTCAATATAATAATACTCCTGTATGATAGTATATTTGCATTGGTTTTTACATGTGTAACCATGTAAAAAAGTTACTGATTTTTAATTATTTTTCTTTTTTGGACAAAATAAGAAATAATTCAAATAAAAACACATATTTTCAAAATCTAGTTGCTGTAAGTAATATGGATAATAGACTTCAATGTATTCACCTTTACCAGCTCCTACAATTAAAAAGTTATTTATTTTTAATTCTTTTACTTTTTGGCTTAAATAAAAAAAATCATTAAAATAAAACACTGAGTTTTTAAATCTAGTTGTTGTAGGCGACAGAAATGATAGACTGTATCATAGTGCATGTGGTTCTACATGTGCACCACCTAGAATCCAATAGTCGATCATTTTTAATATTTTTACATTTTGGCTAAAATAAAATTCATTAAAAATAAAACTCTTTCAGTGTAGTTGCTGTAGTTGATGGGAATAATTGGCTCTATTGCAGTGCATGTAGTTTTACATGTGTAATTCCTACAAGCAAAAAATTATTGATATTCATTTCTATATATTTGTGTAAAAATAGCCTGTTTAAAAATGTAAAAAAAAAAAAAAAAAAAAAACACTTGTTTTTACAAAATCCATTTTCTGTATTAGGTAATATCACTATGTTGTTATATAGCTCACTGGGGTTTGTATATATACTGTTTGCTAATACTGCGTCAGACATCCCGCAAAGAAAATGACCTCGGTAGAAGCTTACATAGTTGCTCATGTCATATACTTTTTAGATGGTCCCTTACTGGCTTTATCTACGTATAACGCGCCAGAGAATTGCATTTCTGAAGGGTTAGCTTCTGCAAGTATACCTGGAGCTTTGTCCACTCCACAGTAATAAAAAACGTTTTGTCATTTTTGTACATTTATTTCTTGAGAAGTACAAGACAAAAACCTGTGTGGCGAATGTCCAGTATAAAACTAACTTTACTGCGGTGCAAAATAACCTCACCTGCTTCAGTGTGTTCACTTCTCCGAGTCTCCTGAAAGTCCTGCCACTTTCCCACTGGAGCTGTTAAACAGTCACATCTGACTAAGATTAAAGTTCACTTTATTAAACTGTAACTCACAGGTAATAACTCACATGTAAACTAGTATGTAATACAGTAGCAAAGGACACGTAATACGGAAGATTAGACTATTCAGGCTGTAGTTCCTCAGATGGGCGTGAAGAGGCGCCATAGCGATATAATGCAGTCTTAAAAACATTAAAAGGAGAATGGAGGATTATCAAATCAGTGGACTGATTATCTGAACTCAGTGTGCTGAGTTGTGCATAGAACTGAACTCTGAATGCAGGGGCAGGTCAGTGTAACCCCATTAAAAGTGAAATCCCTGCTGAAAAATCCAGCTTGATGTGAGAAGAAACCAGCTCCAACAGCACAGGCTGAACTGGTCAGACTGGAAGACCCTGACTGACAGCTGAGAAGTTATTCTCCAGCTTCCTTATTACTTGACTTATTCAACCACTAAATGGCTGAGATGTTCTTTTTTTGTTTTATTTAAAAAATAAACAAATAAATAAATAAAATAATTTATCTGTGATGTAGCAGTAATTCAGAAACTTCCTTTCTTACCAGCTGGGGAGATGGTCTACCAGCTCGATCATCTCAACCTGTGTGTATGGACATAAAGGAGAAGAAGAGGGGACTGTTAAACCTGACAGGATCCAACTGATGCTCAGAGGATTTAAGGCAAAGTCATTTAAGTTATTAGAAAGCTATTAGCTATAATCAATAGAAAATATTCCGATCACATTCAGAAAGAGAGGTGTAAACCTTTTTTAAGGTGCAAGCTACATATTAAAATCTCAACATACATATAGTATTCTTCTTTGAAATCTAACACACAAAATGCCTTTGTTGGAATAAGTTACATTTTTGTCCCTAAGAGAGTTATCCTAAGAGACTAATAATCTAAATATACAAACATAGACAAAGCCAAGCAGTGAATCCTGTAGAATCTTGGATAGAATTAATGCTAGTAGCCTGCTGTGATGTTTCACTTTCCTGTATCCACCATCTGCCTCATCAATTCCACAGAGAGTGTGTATATCAATATTATTTGGTGCTGTCCTTAAGATAGATGTTACATTGCATAGGTACAGGAAATTTTAAGTTTCAAGTGATACAAGAATATTTAATCTACATTTGTAAGGTTTTGCAACATCCTGTAAGTCTGTGGGGAAAACGAAGCATAATGTGAGTCGGCGGGTGTCTCAGATTGGCCTGCTTCAAAGGACTCGAGCTTTGTGCTTTCAGCCTGAACATCCTGAGTCCATCCGGTCCTGCTGGCAAACCTAGTACATCCAACCCATTCATACGGAGTGTTCAATTTATATCACATTTTTTCTGATTTACTAAGTGAAGATGATACTTTTGTAGAAAGGTAAATTCATTCTTAAGAAAACCACAATTTTCTGAAATACATAGATCAGGGGTTTTCGAAAAGCATTGTGATACAGATATCATCAAATTTTAGAGTAGTACTACTAGTTAAAATGGCCTGAGTACTATTAAATTATCTTACATTCTTTCTGCAGATATGGCTTCTCAATCTCAATCGTTAAGAATCTTTAAGTGTGATGTGACTCTGGGTCCAAAACCAGAATTAATTTACTGCTAAATGAATGGCTTCAACCTTACTTCATTAAATTGCTTTATCTACTGTATATCTATTAATAAGGAATACCACAGAGCACACTGTTATAGAAAAAATAATAATTCATGGGATTACCAATGATTACCTTTTTTTTTTCTTAATTAAAGAGCAAGTCATACATTTTATTTATTTATATTTACATTTAATGTTGTGGAACATCCACAAAAACATTAGTTCACTTACATTATATTCACTCACCAAATTTTTTCTTTCTCCTAAAATTAATAAGACAAAAAAAAATTCAGTTAGTCATGTTATAGAGAAACCTGAAACCCAAATCCCTCCATCCTGAAAACCTTAAGTTATAGATTTACTTCTGAATGTTACAAAAGTAAATCCCTCCATCCTGAAAACTTTACGTTATAGATTTACTTCTGAATGTTACAAAAGTAAATCCCTCCATCCTGAAAACTTTAAGTTATAGATTTACTGAATATTACAAAAGTGCTGACACTGGAGATTCCTTCCATAAATAATTGTCTCCTCACAGACCCTTTAAAAAAAAAATCTGTTTATGTAGAGTGTCTGTCATACAAGTCCCTGTATAGTTTGTTACTATAGAACTAATGGCACCTTCTGAACATCAACACCTTCTGAACACTTGAACAACAGTGCTGTGCTACAAATATACTACATAATAGATAATAGATTATATACATTGAACTATTATTACATAAATAAATCTAATTAAAATGACAAACAGATTTGTGTTAGATGGCAGTGGTAGCTCAGTGGTTAAGCTTTTGGCCTACTAATCAGAAGGTCTTGAGTTCAAACTCCAGCACTGCCAAGCTGCCACTGCTGGGCTACTGAGCAAAGCCCTTAACCCTTAAACTGCTCAGTTGTATTAATGAGATAAAAATGTAAGTCACTCTGGCTAAGAGTGTCTGCCAAATGCCAGAAATATAGAAATCCCAATACTACCACAGAAAAAAGTTTCAGCCCTTGAAAAAGGATGTTAATCCTCAACTGCTCAGTTCTATGCCTGATTTTTATTTTGTTCCTACATATACTGTACTTGTAGGAATTAGATCTGTTTAGAGTGTTTAAACCATGGCACTTTTCACATCACAGTTCACACAGGTTGTGCCAGGTGCTCCCAGTGTGCTTTTCCTGTCCTTGGCACTTCCTGACCCACAGCCTGTGCTGTAATGAAACGGGTACTTGAGCTACGCTATAGCTCTGATTCTCTCTGGGTTATTTTTAACCCAGTTCCAATTAAAGCAGCCCATTTGCCCTCAGGCTTCAGTGGAACGATAACGTTTCTCCATGTCTCACTTCCAGAAAGGCAGACAGGAGACATGATTAATCTTTCAATAGCACAGAGAGATGATAAAGGACTACAAAAACACATATTTTTGCTGGAATGAAGACAGATTTCACCAATAACAACTGATAAATGTGTAATGTGTCAGTAATGAATTGGCAGTATTAGCTGAAATAAGTCAAATGTTGAGGGTATATACAGTATGTTTCCTGATGTTGCATTGGATTTAGTTGAGTCTTACCAGTTCATCAGGAATTTTGAATTTTATATCTTTGGCTGAAACGGTGTTGTTTGGTATGTCTGAAAATTATTTACAGTGTCTCTTTTGACTTGAAGCTATGGGAGATGTCATAAAGAAGAAACCTTGAGAGGAAGCAAACTCCATCCTCTTCTGAGTGACAGAATCAGGCTAGTAACTAAAATATATTTTAATATATAGTTTTCTTACTGAATTTATATTAAATGGTTTAGCACCTGCCTGCTACAACCGTATTGCATAATCTTCATACAACAAAATAATCTTCATACAACAAAAGGATAATGGAGAAATAATCTGGGTTTTTTTATACCATTTTTCAGAACTCACCGCCACTTTCATACATTCAGTGAGCTCCACTCCTCCACAAACAAACATCAGGGTCTGGGAAAGGGAATGCTTAATAAAGCTATGATTTTTCAGAATTTAAAGCTGTATTTTTCACTCTCGGACATACATTATGGTATGTCCGAATATACAACAATCCATAATCAGAAACAGATTTGCTTTATAACTGTAGTTATAAAGCAAATCTGTTTCTGATTATGGATTGTTGTATATTCGTTCCAACAAAAAAAGCATAACTTGCTCTGTTGAAAAACCTGAAAAATAATTTTGATTACAATTATGGATTGTAACTATGGATTGTAAAAATGCTGACTGACTATTAAATATGTAAAAGAAAAAAGACTTTACTAACTAACTAACTATATAAACATAACCATAATAATAGTCTTTTATTAATAAACCAGTGTAGAGATCCAAAGAAATCCTATTTCTAAATACACATTACTTCATAATTTACAATCAATTGTAATGATATATAGTTTCTATGAATCAATAAGTAAAAATTGTCATTAAATGTACTAACTAACCTAGCATTAATTAAAGCTAACTGTAGCTATTGTGACTTTAACTTAAACATTCCAGAAAAAATAAGTCAATGGTACACAATTATAAATCTAAATCTAAATTAAACCTATGTTATCTTACATAACTTCACACATACTAAAAAATATTTTTTAAATATTTTTGCAAGATTAAATATTTGCTTCAGGCTACCAAATTGTATGAATAGTAAAACAGGGATTAGCAATTTTGTGCCCAGCGTATCTCTGCTGTTGGAGTGGGCAGATTTAATTTTTTGGCATTCTGTTAAAACTAGACAAAATACCACTAGCTGTGAGTGTCATTTGTACTTAGATGCAGTGCAGCTAAATCATATATTATATATATATATACACACACACACACAGAGTGAAGTGAATAACATTGATTAGCTCATTACCATGACACCTGTCAAGGGGTGGGATATATTAGGCAGCAAATGAACAGTCAGTTCTGGAAGCAGGAAAAATGGGCAGGAAAAATAAGGATCTGAGTGACTTTGACAAGGACCAAATTGTGATGGCTCTATATATATATATATATATATATATATATATATATATATATATATATATATATATATATATATATATATATATATGATTTAGCTGCACTACAGCCAAATACCTTACAAATGACAAATGACATATATGTTAGTTACAGTCAGGTTCATAAGCATTTGGACAGTGCTTTTTGTCATTTTGCCTGTGTACACCACCACAATGGATGTGAAATGAAGCAATCAGGATGTAATGTAAGTGTAGACTTTCAGCTTTAATTCAAGGGGTTTAATAAAAATATTGCATTATCCGTTTAAGAATTACAGCATTTTCTTTGCCATTGTGGTGGTGTACAGAGGCAAAATTCCAAAAATTGTGTCACTGTCCAAACACTTATGGACCTGACTGTATATACAATGCTGTTTCTTGTTCTGGAATCAGACATGTAACTGCTTGCTCCTATCCTTTTCCATTTTTTTGTAACATTTCTCTGTGAGCCTGCATTTCTTTAGCAGGCTTTAGAGAACGGGTATGGAAAAGGGGGTCTCCTTTGGCTTGTTCTGTTGGAAGTTAAACATACACATTCAATGGCTATAAAAAGTCTGCACACGCCTGTTAAAATGGCAGGCTTTTGTGATGTAAAAAAATGAAACCAAGATAAATCATGTCAGAACTTTTTCCACCCTCAACATTAAAGGAGCTACACGAACATCTGACAAGTACTGATTACTCTCTGCATGTGACAACAATCTCTCGTATTCTTCACATGTCTGGGCTATGGGGTAGGGTGGCCGAAGCCCTTTCCCACAAAAAACATCCAAGCTCAACTAAATCACCCCATACTATGTGACAAAATGTTTTATGGTCTGATGAGACCAATTCCAAAAGGTATGTTTGGTGCAAAAAAATCATCACCAAAAGAACACATACCCACGGTGAAGCATGGTGCTGGCAGCATCACGCTTTAGGACTGCTTTTCTTCAGACAGAACTGGGGTTTTTATCAAGGTGGAGGGAAACATGAATCGCTACCAATACCAGTTGCTTTTAGTGCAAAACCTTCAGATGTCTGCTAGTAAGCTGCAGATGAAAAGGAATTTCACCTTTCAGCACAACAATGACCCAAAGCATACATCTAAATCAACAGAGGAATGGCTTAATGAAAAGAAGATCAATGTTTTTGAATGGCCTAGCCACGACCCAGACCTGAATCCAACTAAAAATCTGTGGGTTGACCTGAAGCGGGCTGTGCACAGGAGATGCCCTTACAATTTTTTTTACGGATCTAGTACATTTTTGTAAGAAAGAGTGCGAAAATATTACTAAGTCAAGATGTGCCACGCTGATAGACTCTTAACCAAAAAGACTGAGTGGTGTAATAAAATCAAAAGGTTCATTAGTTTAGGGGTGTGCACACTTATACAACCAGGTTATTGTAAGTTTTTTTATTTTTCTTATTTTTCCCTGATATGTTTCTGATTGTTTTTCACTTAATTTTTATGTTTTATTTTTACATTGAGGGTGGAAAAAGTTGTGACATGATTTATCTTGCTTTCATTTTTTTTTTCCACATAAAACAACCTGCCATTTTAACAGGCGTGTGTAGACTTTTTATATCCATTGTAGCCTATAGTAGCTAAGTTTCTGGTTTTTTTTTGTTTGTTTTTTTTTATTAAGTTTTTGAAGTGAGTGTGTTCCAATCCTAAATACCTAATAGTGAACTATATGTACAACTAGGATCCATTTATCGCTGCACAGTGGAGTCATTCTAGGTCTTCTAGACGGCTCCCTGTGGACAGGATGACTTTGTAGGCTTCTACACGCTACATGCTGCTCCAAAGGAAGACAACTGCGATTCAGACTATTTGACTAGAAGCACCAGCTTCAAATATATCCTTTTTTTTATTGTTAAGAGTACTATATCTAAGATGAACCAAAATTTGTTCCAAAATTATTTCACTGTAGAATATAAAAAGTAAGCCAACATACAAAATTTAATTCATCTTTAGTGCCAATGAACATTATTTCATTTGCTTCAAAATTCTTCGACATGAAGTTTTCTGTGCCCGAAAGAGTATATTTAAGAGTTTCAGCTAAGAAGATATAGGCTAAATTCTGTCTAAAACGGCTTAAACAGTAATAAAGAGGCCCGTACATGACAACGGACATGAATGTCCATTTAAATTTGGCGCTGAAGATGGCGGCGGCGCGCTATAGGACTGAGGCGCAGAAGAAAAGACGCCAGCAGGTCGCGGCAGCATCGGGGCCGTCGAGTTTACACAATATGCGCGAGAGGAAGAACAGGAAAACCGCAATTCCCGACTTTATACTCGGCCTTTTCGTGTCTCCAACACCCGCAGCATGTAAAAATCCAACGATACGCCGCCAAATGAGAAGGCTGAGGCCGAACACTGGCTTTGTGTTTTGACCAAGAGAAATGTGGCGCTGCTTCGAGGACTGACGAGACGTTTTTTAAACAAATGGAAAAGAGACACTCCAAAAGCTTTCCGTGGATTTTACGTGGATTTCTGCATTGATCCCCCTTTTTAGTCGCCATGGATATTTAAATTTTGGATTCTCCCCTTGCGACTGTTCGATCGCAAGAAGAACAGAGACTAATCCAGCAATCGGCCAGGATAAGTGCCTGTCTACCTCGACATATTGCTTACCAGGGATTTAAATCATCACGTGTTAAGAACGACAAGGGGTTCATCAAAATTAATGTTCACTGTCTGATCGCTTAACGAATTCATTTGAAGAGAGCAAGATGAGCACGGAAAGGCCGAAGAGAAATATCATTCAGAAGAAATTTGTAAGTGTAGCCTATATATAAAACGCTGAATCGTTTTGTCCTTGTCCCTATTATGGCACACTGCTAAG